TCCCTCTTCTCCTGCCGCTCCCGCCTGCCCCTCCGCGGAGATTTTTTCCAAAGCGTGGGGCCTGGGCAGCTGGCAAGCGCTTGCGCAAGAGCCACCGGAGTGGCCCCGCAGAGCTGCAGGTGATGTTGCTCGGTCTGTTGACGTCCACTGGTGAGGCCAACATTCTCCTCCAAGGCGTCTCGCCCGCCGCAGGTCTTTGACGGGACTCCCTCCTCCTCCTCCTCCTCCTCCTCCTCCTCCTCCTCCGCCTCCTCCTCATCCTCCTCCTCCGCCTCCTTTTTGACGATCGGCAAACTTCAAGCGTTGTGCTTGTACCGTCCAGCAGTGACAAGATCATAAGGATTCTGGCCTAGCGAAGCGCGATCACAAATTAAGGCTGCTGCCAGTGTGGACACAAGAGGGACAGTGGGATCTGCAAGATGCAAGAGCCCTGAGTGCTCAGAGTAGCTATTCTCCTCATCCTCCTCCTCGTCCCCCCCCTCCTCGTCCTCCTCTTCCTCCTCCTCCCCCCTCCCTGCGGCCACCACCTCCCAGCCGCCGCGCCGACCTCAGAGCCTGCGGGCTCAGAAGAAGTCGCCACAGGGGCCCGGTTGGGCCGAGGTGCCCGGGGGCCGCCGAGCGCCCCGGAGCGCCGCACCATCGGGCTGGCCGGACAGGCGCCTGGGCCTCCAGCCCTCTCGGTAGCAAATCGTGGGAGCCTCGCGTGCCTTGTGGAAGTCGATGAATGGAGAGGGAGCATGCTGCCAAAGAGTTTCCAGGTGTCTAGAAGATGTTTCAAATATGTTTCAAATCTGTCTCGAATCTGTTTAAACGTGTTTGAAACATGTGTAGAACATGTTTCACACATACATTGTAAATTCAATGATAGGACTGTTAGGGTGTCCATTGTCGTGGCATCCACAACTTTAGCGTCGACTAGCGTCGAACAGCGTCTGGGTGTCGATGAGATAGCGCCGACTGAGCGGCGGCTGGCGTCGATGAGCGTCGATTCAGCGCGTCGATTAGCGTCGATTTCGCGTCGATTAGCGTCCATTCGCATGAGCCGACAAGATGGTATGGGAGGCTCCCATGAGTTGCCACTGAACGCCCCCGCCCCTCCTCTGGGGGATGGGGGGCTCAGACAGCCAACGCACCGGCAAAGAATCGGCCGCACGCAGATCGGGGACACTTGTGAGGCTCGAGGGCGCCGCATTTCGGATGTGGCAGCGCGTTTCTGACGAGCAAAGTCCTGGGTTTCGGGGGTCCAGTTTTCGTGGGATGTTCGCAGCGGGAGCTCGCGTCGAACTTCAGATGGGGTCTCGGCATATTTTCAGGATGACCCTGTCAGGCCAACCTGAGTCCCCCGAACACGAATCTTGCGTCTCTCCGAGCAGAGGGGTGCAGGGGGAGAGGGGAAGGCTTCTTAGAAGCACCCCTGCTTCTTAGAAGGCGCGGGCCTCGTCTACAGATCTAGGGCCAGCGCCTTCTAAGAAGTCTCATACGAATGCTTCCTCCTCCCCCGACTCGTGCGCGCCGTCAGGGAAGGGAACCCAGGCATCCAACGCATCGGCAAAGAGTCGAAACGAGTCGCCGCTGAGGTTGCTGAGGGCGTCGGGAGGATCTGAGAGTTGCGAAGTTGGGTCGATCTGGCCCGGCCTGGCTTATGAATGGGTTGCCGCTCGCTGGGGTATGTTGATTCTTCGGAGTGGGCTTCGCCCGCCTTGCCCAGATCTCCGCTCCCCGCAAGCCGCTTAGAGCTCTTGCAACCCACTTGTGAGCTAGGTCGGGCCACATCTGTCCGACCTTGGCATCCACTCTGAACCGAGCCGTCCTGATGAGCAGCTCAGGCGGAGATCCAAGTGGGGACCGTCGAAGGCGACTCGGGATGAAGAACTGAGGAGGAGGAGGAGGAGGCGGAGGAGGAGGAGGAGGAGGGAGGAGGAGGAGTGAGGAGGAGAAAGACAGAAGCAACAGAAGAAGAGGAGGAGGAGGTGGAGGAGGAGGAGGGGGAGGAGGGGGAGGAGGAGGAGAAGAAGGAGGAGGAGAAGAAGGAGGAGGAGAAGAAGGAGGAGGAGGACGATGAGGAGGAGGAGGAGGAGGAGGAGGAGGAGGAGGAGGAGGAGCATGAGCCCGGCCTATCTCATCGGGCCGTCGAGCAGGTCTTGCCGCCCACCCCTGTCGGGGTCGCCCCGGTGTTCTGTCGGTCGCTTCACAGTCGATCGCCACAGGTCTCCGATGTTTTTTGTGTTGGACGGTGGGATTCCTGGAGGTCCTCAAAACGTGCCTGGAGTTTTCGTTTGGGGGGAGGTCGCTGGTTTCTGGGTGTTTGTTTCGAATTCCCAGAGGTTCTCGCGCTCCTGGGCTTGGCTCCCCTGGTACGCCCGTTTTGAAACGCAACACTTGCAGTGTTCAAAACGTTTTGGCGAACGTGTCGCGCCAAACGTACGTTTTCAGTCTACGTGTTGAGCTCCGTGTCAACACGCTACGGGTTGCGTATTGCGTATCGCGGCAGCCAAGCTCCTGGGCTCTCGTGGGGCAACCAGAAGGTACGGATACCGCTGCTCCCTGGACCTCTCCCGGGGTGCGTTCTGACCAGGCTCTCGCAGCGACTCCAGCGGTGGCGACGAGGGCCTCCCAGGAGGCCCAAGAAGGGGAACACGGGCGAAGGGCAGCGGTCTGGGTACACCTTAGGCGATGCCCAAGAAAACTTAAGTTTTCGGCCAGAGTCTCGATTATTCTTAATGTTTCAATTTAATTCCTCAGATTTTAATAGAAATTCTGGGTTTTAATTTAATTCTGAGACTATGAATTTCTTAACCCGTGATTTCTTAAGCATTTCGCAGGGTGTACCATTCCCTCCTCCGAGCTCGCCATCGGCCGCGCCTCGTCGAGAGGCCTCCGGGGAGAGCCCCCATGGAATCGTCCCGAGCGGCCGTGGCCCGAAGGGGCCCGAGCGGAGGGAGGAGCGGACCGCCGCTGGGGAGAGAGGACGTGCCGTGCTTCGGACTTCGGCGGGGCCGTGCCCTCGCAGCGCTGCCGTCTAAATATCTCGGCCGCGCGCAGATCGTCACCACCCACCAGACCACCCCAACCCAACCCGAAGGCTCAGATTTACCCTCGATTTCTAGTGGGGGGGGGGTCCGGGAACATCGAAAAACCACATATGGAGCCCATACCCCCCCCCCCAACCCGAAATTCGGGTCTTCGGGTTGGGTTGGGGTGGTCTGGTAGTTACTCAGATCGGGGGGCACCTCGTGAGGCTCGAGTGCGCCTGAGCTCGGGTCTGCCTGGGCAGGTATTTCTGGATTCCCAGATTCCAAAATATACCTTAAGCGCCTTCCTGCTTCGATGATCGAGTGGCTTCACTTTTTTTCCGTCTTCCTCGGGGGACGGACGGAGCCCAATTTTTGCTCAACGCCTTCCTACTTTCTGTTTCGGCTCACTTCTTCCGACCGATGTGTACTCGCAAAGGTCCGGAATGCACGGGCTTGCATCCATGTGGTGCAGCGTAGAGTCCCCGCGGCGGGTCCAGGCCACTTGCGAGCAGTTGCTCTGCGAGCAGTGGGTGCCCTCGAGGGCGCGAAGTGGCTCGCGCTTCGCGCTCCGCGGTTCGGCTCCGATGCCACATATCCTTTCCTCCCCCGGGAGGCGGCGCGAGAGCGCGAGAGCGCGAAGTAAGGCGCCCTCGAAAGCAGGCCCCAGGGAAGGGGCTCTGGAGCACCCGGGGCCGCGCGTCGAAGCGAATTCACAGCGTCGGGGGCCCCAGGGTGAGACCACGGCGGACGCCCAGGGAGGCCCGCGATGATTGGCCTCCAGAGCATGCCTCGCGGGGCCGCGCGGGCGCCCGAAGGGGGCTCCAGAGTGGCGCGAGCGGCTGGGGACGCCGTGGCGGCCGGGAGCACCTCTGGCCACCCTTCCGGCGGGGCGGGGCGGGGAGGTGCAGGCCCGCTACATATCCCGCGGGGGCTGCGTCGCGCGCCGCCGCCCCTCCTTTTTTGTCTATCGCTATCCTCGCCGTCGTCCTCGCCAGCTCCCTTCTGGCCCGCCTCGGCTTTGGGCAGGGCTGGGCCTGGCATGCTTGGCTGACGGGGCGGGGGGAGGGAAGGACCGCGCGCGCACTCGCGGCACAGCAGGGCGGCGCGAGAAGGGGGGCGCGTTGGCGCGGGCGCCGCCTGCGCGGGTGCGGCCGCCCCGCAGCGATTGCCTTTGCATTCCGTCACCGTCGTCCTTGCCATGTTCCTCACCCTTGTCTTTGTGATGAGCGTGTTTTCCACCACCACCACCATAAGTTGGAGGGGGGGGTCCTCCTCCTCCTCCTCCTCCTTCTCCTCCTCCTCCTCCTCCTCCTCCTCCTCCTCCTCCTCCTCCTCCTCCTCCTCCTCCTCCCCCTTCGCCCCATCCAACTTATGGTGGTGGTGGTGGATAAAGCGCTCATCACTTTGGAAGTCCTTTGCTGGATCACTCATCCTGGTTTTCAAGTTGGCCAGCGTGGGCCCCAGGCAGTGAGGTCTGGCAGTCTGCTCGTGCCACTTCTGTGATGCGGCCTATGTTCTTCTGCTCTCTTGTGTCCTATCAGATATACACGTCTTGTGTGTATATATGGCTGCGTTCTCTGAAGATCCGCGACTGTTCCGCATAGTGGTGGCTGGGAACCGACGGTCCTGGGGTCCGGATGGGAGCCGGAACGCGGGGAAAACGCCCGGATTGAAGAGGCATGCCGTCGGACATTGCGTTTTTGTTGTTGAGCTGTCGAGCGGGACGGGACCTGGAAGGAGGAGGAGGAGGAGGAGGAGGCGGAGGCGGAGTCGGAGGCGGAGGAGGAAGAGGAGGAGGAGGAGGAGGAGAAGGAGAAGAAGGAGGAGGAGGAGGAGGATGAGGAGGAGGAGGAGGAGGGAGGAGGAAGGAGGAGGAGGAGGAGGAGGAGGAGGAGTAGGAGGATCCTCGGGGCGGTCGTGGGCTCTTGGGCTGTGCCCCGCGCGGCGGGGCCTGCGGGCACTCCCAAATGGCGCTGGCGGACGACCTGAAGGAGAAGGTCGAGCAGGTGCAGGCGGAGCTGTCGGCCAACTCGTCCCAATGGCTCCTCCGCAGGGGGGGGGGCGGGAGTCGGGAGCGAGATGGGGCGAGAAGGGGCGGAGGAGTCCCTGAGGGCTTGTCGACTCTTCGCCACTCGACTTGTGGGGATCGAGCCAGGTAAATCCAGGTAGATGCAGATAAATCGAGTGAAATCCAGGTACATCGCGATACATCAAGGTAAATCCAGGTAAATCTGGAGATCGCCAGGGAAAGTGGGAGCAATTCGCGGCCGGTCCAGTGAGTGGAAGGACGGCAGAAGTCGTGAAGCCTCTAACGAAGGAGGACCTGGATGAAGTTCTTGGAGCACTTCGCTCTCGAACCTTCTTTCCGGGATGCTCTCCAGCAGCTGCGCCTCGCCGGTGGCGTTCAGGGGGGGGGTTCAGATCGTTCCGGACGGCCGCCGGAGGCCCAGGGTGTGGTTCGAAAGCCTGATGGATGGGGGACTGAAGGCGGCGGATGAGGAGGAGGGGCGGAGGAGGAGGAGGAGGAGGAGGAGGAGGAGGAATAATAATAATGATAGTATTACTATTATTCATAATAATAGTAATAATAAGAAGAAGAAGCAGACGAATACTACTAATACTAATACTAAGAATAATGATGATAATAATCATACTACTACTACTACTAATAATAATAATAATAATAATAATAATAATAATAATAATAATAATAATAGTAAGCACAATACTAATAATGATAAGCAGAAGAAGAGGAGGCGTAGAAGGAAGGAGAAGAGGAGGAGGAGGAGGAGGAGGAGGAGGAGGAGGAGGAGGAGGATGAGGATGAGGAGGAGGAGGAGGAGGAGGAGGAGGAGGAGGAGGAGGAGGAGGAGGAGGAGGAGGAGGAGGAGGAGTGGGGGAGGATTGGGGGGAGGAGGGAGGAAGCGATGAGGAGGAGGAGGAGGAGGAGGAGGAGGAGGAGGAGGAGGAGGAGGAGGAGAGGAGGAGGAGGAGGAGGAGGAGGAGGAGGAGGAGGAGGAGGCGGAGGAGAAGGCGGCGGATGAGGATGGGGGAGAAGGAGGAGGAGGAGAGGAGGAGGAGGAGGAGGAGGAGGAGGTGGAGGTGGAGGAGAAGAAGAAGCAACTTGAGGAAGCGCAGGCGGAACCGTGGGCCATGGTCCCATGGATCCTTTGGGGGGGTGGGGAGGGAGCGGAAGGAGCACATGGGATAACAGAGTGGAGGAGGAGGAGGAGGAGGAGGAGGAGGAGGAGGAGGAGGAGGAGGAGCAGCTTCAGCAAGTGCATGCACAGCTGTCGGCAAATTCGTCCCCATGTTTCCTCCAGGGGGGATGGGGAGGGAGCGGAGGGAGCAGATGGGGATAGAAAGGCGGACGAGGATAAGCTCGAGCACTTGCAGGCGGAGCTGTTGGCTACACTTCACTTCAGCGATTCCTGCATGGGGGGACGGGGAGGGAGCGGAGGGAGCCCCGGGCGTTGGAAGTCGGACGAGGATAACCTTGAGCAGGGGCAGGCGGAGCCGTCGGCGAACCCGTCCCAGCGGTTCCGGAGGGGGGGGCGGAGGGGAGGGATGGAGGGGGCGGAGGGGGGAGCGGAGGGGGGGGCGGAGGGGAGCGGAGGGGGGGGCGGAGGGTGGGAGCTCTTGGGGGCGCCCCTTGGGCAGTCTCGAGGCCACCGGGGGCGCCCCGGGAAGCGCTCTCGGAGCGGCGGCCCGCCGCTCGTCGCCGATCGGGGCTCTTCGGGTGCCCCATACTTGCTGCGAAGTCGCCAGGTGTTGGTGTCGGGGCCCTCCGCGGATCCACGCACTCCTGCTCAATGTGTTTTTCTTTCCCCCCAGCGCGCGGCCACACCAAGGTTAAGTCGGGCCTGTCCCTCTACAGGGGGAATGTTCAAAAATAGTCAAAACATACGCCACCGAGGAACCCCACATACTTATATTCTGGCTGGAGTGATGATAGCTGAAGTGAAGCATGTGAGAATGATGTTGGTGGCCGTTGCCACCCTCTGCGCCAATCCTAATTATGGTGTCGAGAAAGCGCCACGCCTGCTATGCCCTGGACGACCGTCGTGCATAGCGGCCGCGCTCAGGGACCACCCCCTGCGCACCCCCTTATGGTGTCGAGGAAGTGCCACGCCTGCTATGCCCTGGACGACCGGCTCGGATAGCGGCCGCGCTCAGGGACCACCCCCTGCGCACCCCCTTTATGATGCCGAGAAAGTGCCACGCCTGCTATGCCCTAGACGACTGGCGCGCATAGCGGCCGCGCTCAGGAACCACCTCCTGCGCACCACCTGTGGTGTCGAGGAAGTGCCACGCCTGCTGGGCCTTGGACAACCGACTCGGATAGCGGCCGCGCTCAGGGACTATCCCCTGCGCACCCCTTACGGTGTCGAGAAAGTGCCACGCGTGCTATACCCTGGACGACCGTCTCGGATAGCGGCCGCGCTGAGGGACCACCCACTGCGCACCCCCTATGATGTCGAGAAAGTGCCACGCCTGCTATGCCCTGGACGACCGTCTCGGATAGCGGCCGCGCTCAGGGACCACCCCCCGCGCACCCCCTTCTGGTGTGGAGAAAGTGCCACGCCCGTCACGCCCCGCGACCCTGGGACGGATAGAAACCGCAGTGAGGGACCCCCCCCCGCGCACGCCGTGTGGCGTGGAGAAAGTGCCACGCCCGCCACGCCCCGTGACCCTGGGTCGGGGATAGAGTCCGCGGTGAGGGACCACCCCCTACGCACCCCCTGTGGTGTCGAGAAAGTGCCACGCCGGCCACGCCCCGCGACCCTGGGACGGATAGAGACCGCGGTGAGGGACCACCCCCTGCGCACCCCGTGTGGCGTTGAGAAAGTGCCATGCCCGCCACGCCCCGCGACCCTGGGACGGATAGAGACCGCGGTGAGGGACCACCCCCTGCGCACCCCCTATGGTGTCGAGAAAGCGCCACGCACAGGTCGCCTGTAACGCATGCGCTCAGGGACCACCCCCAACGCACCCCCTCTGGTGTTGGGTAAGGGTCATGCCTGCCGTGCCCTGCGCATCCTACACGTGCGTGTGGTGTATGGCGTGTCATGTGTATGTGTATGATGCGTGCGCGGCCGTATCCGGACGTGTGTCTCATGTGGGTGCCAGGTATGTGGTGCATACGTATTGGGTAAGCTGTGCTGTGCTGTGCTGTGCTGTGCTGTACTGTGCTGTGCTGTGCTGTACCGACGGGCAGGCGACTGCTGTGCTGAGCTGAACTGTGCTGTGCTGAGCTGAGCTGAGCTGTGCTGAGCTGAGCCGAGCTGAGCTGTGCTGTGCTGAGCAGTGCTGTCAGGAGGAGGGGAAGAGGGAGGTGAGTGAGTGAGCGCGGGTGGGGCGCGGCAGAGAAGAAAACAATAACCCCACGAAGCATGTGGGGAAATAGCCTGGGGACGTTTTTTGTTTTTGTTTTTGTTTATATATATATATATATTGTTAGTATTATTTTTAATATATATATATATATATGTCTTGTCCATTGAGGAATATGTTGCGGATATTCGTTATTTTCCATCGAAAACCTTTCTGTAGGGGGACACGCCCGACCGAAAACCAAGGCCACGACCCGCTCCCCCGGGCAGGGCTCCGCCCCCGATCCCTGCCCGATGGCCCCGGGGCCCGAGGCCGGGCCGGGGAGGCCGAAGTGCTTCCAAGGGCGCCGGGGCGACCAGAAGCCACGTCGCCGGAGGTCAGGGGGCGCCTCCCCCTCAACGTCGGGCCTGTCCCTCTTTAGAGGGAATTTGCAAAAATTGTCTAAAAATAGTCCGGGGACTATTGTTTGAGTATTGCTGAGTAGTTGTGAGATATATTTGGAATATTTGTTATTTCCCATTCAAAATCCAGCTGTCGGGGAACAGGCCCGACCAAAAGCAAGCCCCCCCCCCTCGCAGGGCGCGGCGGCGTGCGCCTCGGGCCTCCCAGGAGGCGCGCTCCTCTTCTGCGCCCGTGGTGCCCCCGTACCCGGAGGGGGCCTCCCTGTTCGGCTCCTGGCCGCTCCTCCTGTTGGTCAGGGCGTGAATGACCAACCCCGCTCTCGCTTCCAGGAGAGACCAGGTCATGCCACGAGCCTCCTCGTCGAGCGACCTGACTGGTACAGGCCGGAGTTTGGCATCGCCTGGTATCTCTTGGGAGCGAGGGTGGTCCAAAGCGAGGTAGGTTTGTTTTCCCCCTCGTTGGGCCCTCCCTCCAGCTTCCCTCGAGCTTGCCCGCGGCGGCGCCTGGGCCTAAGGCCTCGACCCTCGACCACCCCCTGGAACCGGCTTTTCGTCCTGAACCGTTTTTGGGGGACGCCCCTGGGGCTGGCCGAGGGCCTCCCGAGGAGGCCGAAAGCGGCGAAAAGAGCCCGTCGTGATTTTTTAACAGGTTCCACCTCCTAGGAAGAGGAGGAGGAGGAGGAGGAGAAGGAGCAGCAGGAGGAAGACGATCTGAGCTGAAGGAGCAGCAGGAGGAGGAGAAGGAGCAGCAGGAGGAGGAGAAGGAGCAGCTGTGCTGAGCTGAACTGTGCTGTGCTGAGCTGAGCTGAGCTGTGCTGAGCTGAGCCGAGCTGAGCTGTGCTGTGCTGAGCAGTGCTGTCAGGAGGAGGGGAAGAGGGAGGTGAGTGAGTGAGCGCGGGTGGGGCGCGGCAGAGGAGAAAACAATAACCCCACGAAGCATGTGGGGAAATAGCCTGGGGACGTTTTTTTGAATATGGTTTGTCCATTGAGGAATCTGTTGCGGAGATTCGTTATTTTCCATCGAAGATCTTTCTGTAGGGAGACACGCCCGACTGAAAACCAAGGCCACGACCCGTTCCCCCGGGCAAGGCTCCGCCCCCGATCCCTTCCCGATGGCCCGAAGTGCTTCAAAGGGCGCCAGGGCGGCCAGAAACCACGTCGCTGGAGGTCAGGGGGCGCCTCCCCCTCGACGTCGGGCCTGTCCCTCTTTCGAGGGAAGTTTCAAAAATTGTCTAAACATAGTCTGGGCACTATTGTTTGAGTATTGTGGAGTAGTTGTTAGATATATTTGGGATATTTGTTATTGCTCATTCAAAATCCAACTGTCGGGGGACAGGCCCGACCAAGAGCAAGCCCCCCCCCCTCGCAGGGCGCGGCGGCGTGCGCCTCCGGCCTCCCAGGAGGCGCGCTCCTCTTCTGCGCCCGTGGTGCCCCCGTACCCAGAGGGGGCCTCCCTGTTCGGCTCCTGGCCGCTCCTCTTGTTGGCCAGAG